CACAGGCACACACAGACAGACAGACACGTGCGCGCGCACAGGCACACGCACACATGTACTTTCTGTGTACGGACTGCATAACTTTTCATCTCCTACTGAACAGTCTCTTGCACGCTTTTCAAATCCCTCCCCCATGGCTTTCGGACATTAACCTCCAAATAACACCTCTTGCTGTTAGCTGTCACTAGCCTAAGTGTGCAATGTTTTCCTTTGTTCTAGTAGTTTTCAATCTCTAAAGCCCTTTTTCATTCTTTCATGGAGTTGTGGCCGTCACTCAGTCCTAATCACCTGGAAGGTGGTGGTGGGTAGAAGCTGCCTACTCTAACCACTGCAGCTCCCCCCCAACCATTGTATGTGCAGTCAGCAGTTTGGACAAATGCAGGTCGTCCTTCAAACTATTGTTAATGAGGGAAAACCCAGATTAAGGATTGTGTCAGGATGGGGTTCAGAGTACGCGTCTGCAAGAGGGGATGCAGCTAATGTGGAAAATATCCCAACAGTTTGCAAGTGGACACTGAGGGTCACGCTAAGATTGGCTGCAGAAGGTCCAGGGGTCACATATTTGGGTCGATTTTCACTTCCAACGCCCGCTGGTAAAAGGCCTCTTCAGGCACTGTGCTCCCAGGGGCCAGTCACTTTCACTTAAAGGGGAAAAGACTTACATTTACATAGCACCTTTCATGACCGCCGCACGTCTCAAAATATTTTATAGCCAGTAAAGTGTTTTTGTAATGTACTGTAGCCACTGTTGTAATACGTATAGAAAACACAGCAGCCAATCTGTACACAGCAGGGAAGGCATCCAGTATTATTACTAGAATATTAATCCAGAGACCCAGCTAATGTTCTGGGACATGGGTTCGAATCCTACCATGTCAGATGAAGTTTGAATTTAATAGAAATCTGGAATTATTTGTCTAATGATAGCCATGAAACGACTGCCGATTGTCAGAAAAAATCCATCTGGTTCACCAACATCAATTATCAGCACAACTATCCATTTCCTTCTTCAACAAATACCTATCTAGTTTCTCTTAAACGTGTCTGTCTTTGCCACTTCGGCCACTCCCTGGGATCATGAGTTATATGTTCGACATTGATTGAGGAATAAAGAAGAATTCTCATCTTGTGCTGATGAGGAAACACTGCCCTCCCACTCCCTCCCTCCCAGATGCTGATCATCCTTTGCAGACACAGACTGAGGCCATTCGCCAATCAGGCATTTACTGACTCACTGAAAGAGCTGTCCAATTAATCCGATCCCACTCCCTTTCTTCCCATAGACCTTCCTTCTCAAGTATTTGCCCAAATTTGCTTTCAGAAGTTGCTCATGGAACTGCATTCACTGTCCTCTAAGACTTTGCAGATCATAAAAACACTGTATTAAAGAAAGACTCTTCATCTCCTCTCTGCTTTCTCGTCAATCGCTTTCAATCTGCATTCTCTCTCTCTGTTACCAAAACCTGTTACCAGTCCCAGAGCTCATCTGGGTACAGCAAACTTTGTTTTAACCTGCACCTTATGAACCAGCACTCGATAAACCAGCAAGTATTATATACCTCAAACATCACAAAGTTTACTGTATTATTCTGTCCAATTATTAGTCTTTTAAAAACTTTATTTACCTCAATATTTGCTGTTCATTTGAATAGCCTCTCAAAATATCAACAGTTAGTTCAAGTTTGAGTCAATTTCTCCTCAAATATAGTGATTGCAACGTCCGAGTAGTCAGTTGAGGGTGTGAGTGAGAACATTCTCTGTGTTAAGTTTTATTCAAGGCAGCGTTGCATTGTTATTTAAGTGATTTATGCTGTAAGTAAAATATAACAGTGACAAGTATACCTGGTGCATTACATTTCAATTATTTAGTGTATGTTTTTACATTGATCATGTGGACCTCTTGATCAACCAGAATATTTGATCGACTGGTGCACATTCCTGGTCCTATAGGTGCTGGTTAATAAAATGTTTGCTGTATATGCACTGTCCTTGACAATTATGAACCTTGACCCTTGGGCTGTATTCACCGGTGTTAACTGTTCCAAATGCGGTGCTAACAGCCTGTGCTGCTGACGAGCTGTGTCTCCACACAATGCAGCAGCAGTGTTATAAAGTTATGCAGGAAGTGTCAGGAGAAAACCTGATGTCCTGTACTTACTAATGGAGCAGATTAAATCCAGGAACCTCTCCTTGGGGAAGAGTGGGTTTTCCAGGCCACGGAAGTACAGCTTCAGGACCCCAGCGACTGAGTTGATGTCATGCTCATTGCGATCATCCATGAGGGGGTCCTCACCTGGTTTGTAAAGGAAAGAATTTATATTAATGCAGGGCCTTCAGGTTGACTGGGCCTCAAGGAGTCAGGCTCCAGATGCAAATTCTAGGCCCCTGTTCCCCTGAGCTACCCAAATGAAAGAGGCGGAGTAAAAGACTTGCATTTATATAGTGCTTTTCTTGACCAGCGGACAACCCGAAGCGTTTTACAGCCAACGAAGCACTTTTGGTGGTGTAGTCACAATGCAGGTAATGTGGTGGCCATTTTCTTTCCACAGAAAACTCCCACAAACAGCAGAGATAATATTTTGATGGTAGAGATTGAGGGATGAATATCGTCCAGGGTAAATGTCCCCAACTCTCCTTTGAAACAATGCCACGGGATCTCTGACATCTGGGGCATCAGTTGAATGTCTCATTTCAAAGCTACTGCCAAAAATAAATGTGTATCCTTCTGTATTCTGGATCTGTGCAGAGATGACACCAGTTCCCATGAGTATAACAGGTTTTATTGGCCGTGCTTTAAAATGTCTATTTGTGACGTTCAGCTGTGATTTCCTTTAAGCAGCTATTCCAGAGTCCATTCCCAGACTTAACAAATCAAACATAGTGAGCATCAATTGTAAAAGAAAACTCTCAATAAAACTTAGGTCAACTGAAAGTGACACTGAGGTCAAGACTATGGGAGAGGACAACAAGGATAAACAGTAAAAATTTATAAGGTAGATATAGTCTAATCAACCTGTTCAGAGGTGTTATAACACCACCTGTGGAGCAGGTGAGATGTGAACCAGGGCCTCTTGATCCAGAGTGGGACACTACCACTGCACAAGAGCCCTTTAAAAATAGACAAGATAAACGGAGAGGTGATGGATTTTGAGAAAAGGTGGACTGGAATCGTTGGCTTTTTAAAAAATTCATTCATGGGGATCTCTGGCTATGCCAACATTTATTGCCCATCCCTAATTGCCCAGAAGGCAGTTGAGAGTCAACCTCATTGCTGTGGGTCTGGAGTCAAATGTAGGCCAGACTGGGTAAGGATGACAGTTTCCTTCCCTAGAGGACATTAGTGAACCAGATGGGCTTTTCCAACAATTGACAATGGATTCATCATTCGACTCTGAGTTCCATATTTTTTACTGAATTCAAATTCAACCATCTGCCGTAGTGGGATTCAAACCCAGGTCTCCAGACCATTACCTGGTTCTCTGGATTTATAGTCCAGTGACAATATCACTAGGCCATCACGTCCCCGAGGGTTATGGTTAGTATCCTCTCAGTTAAATCATGCCTGGTGTTTCAGAAGCTTCATTACTGTTTTAACATCAGTGTGTGAGAGCAGAGGAAACAAACTTCAGGAGCCCAGGAAGAACCAGCAGTCAATGGGTTAATGCACGAGCTGTCAAGAGGGAAAATCCTCGTTTCGTTTTATTTCTCACTGAAATGTCCGAGGACTTGATTCAGGTGAGTGGGTAATTGTACAATTTGTTTAAAACTAATTTACTGACAAAATCAAACACTCATTAAAACTCTATTAAGATGTGCAATTTCCCCTCGATGTCAGTTAATGTACTGTATGTGAAGCTTTGCTTGCAAAAGTGTCAGGAAAACAGAGCTCTCAACATGACAACTGACGTCTGCTGTGTTTGGATTACTCTGGGGTCTGATTAAATGGAGAGTGGGATAACAGGGGGCAAGGAGAGGGGAGAATCGGGGCACGGGGTGGGGGGAAGGAAAACAGGGAAATGGGGGCTGAGAGGGTAAAGGGGGAGGTGGGAGGAATGGGAGGAGGAGAGGGGAGGGGAGAGGAAGTAAAAGCAAGAGTGGGGGCAGGAGGAAAGAAGTAGAAGGGTAGGGAAGAGGAGGTGAAGAATAGGAGTGGGAAATGGAGGGAGAATGGAGGAAGGAGTAATGGGGGGGGGGAAGAAGCAGAGGGATGAGAGGTTTTGGTGTTTGGAGTTGTGGAACATAGAAAGAGAGAGGAGTGAAGAAAGGAGGTGAAGGGAGGAGGTGAGAGAGGAGAATGGGAATGGGAAAGGCATCGGGGTAGCAGGGAAGAGGACAGGGAGAGTGGTGAGGCTAAGTGTTTGGGGTACAGGGAATGATGAAAGGGGAAGGGTTCTTAAAAAGGGGGAAGGGGCTTAAAAGAGGGGGAGAAGTGGGTAATAGGAAAGGGTTTGGGAGGCCAAAAGAAGTGAAAGGAAAACACGTGGAAAGCAGGGGTGGTGGGTGAGACGGAGAGGGCGAGGCAGGGTCTGACATGACCTGGGCTGAGGCTCCAAGCAGCAGCATTGGATCAGGTGAAAAATATCACTAACCATTCCTCATATCAACGTAAATAATTATGTTTAAATGTCGTAAAGCTGAGAGTCAGTGGTGTATCTGGAACCCCAATGAATAAAAACTTTAACAGCACCAATGGCTATCTTTTACCTTAATTCTCCCTCAAGCTCACCTCTCTCAAAGGCGTTCTTGATGTCATTGACTTCACTCTGAGAGCCTGGAACACGGAAAATACCCTGCTGTTGTAGGCCTAAGAAAAAAAAACACAAAAACAAATATATTCACAAACTCTTCTGTTCCAAATCCAAAACGAATATGCCAAGTAGCTCCTTTGGCCAAGTAGCTCCATGGACAGTTGCATTAAACTAACCTCCATGATGCACAATCACTTGGCTATAACCTGACACAATATGCTTCTACTATCAGTAACCGCATATTTCATTGTTAACCAGAGAGGATTAACCACATCACCCGATATCTCACTGCAATTTGGGGCAAGATTAATTATATCACTATTGCAGACCAACCACGAATAGCAGATTTTATTCCTGTGCTGTGGAGATTGGCCCAAGCTTAATATGGACATTGTTGGGAAGGCTACAATTTGCCTCGGTATCTGGGACAGCTTCTACTCCAGGAACTAATGTCAGGCAAGTCCAATTATCCTGGAGTTACAAAGATACTTGAAACACCACCTGACTCTCAGCCACATATGATCTATTAGTCAGGTCCAGACAAACAAAAGCAGTTGCGAAGTCCCATATAACCAGGGCCCGTTAAAAGGTTCTCGAGGTTTTTAAACATCCACTTGCTATAGTCTTGTGCATGGAGGCTGGATGAGGTGTTGAGGAGATCCAAGAATTTCTATGGAAACCAGGACACAGGGGGCTGTGGGGTGCAAAAACATAGGTTTTAAATTATGGCTATAACCTACCATAGAGATTAATGAATCGAATACAGCTCTCCACCACAAGTGGGATGGGTTGTCCAGAGTCCTATATATAAAAAAAAAAACGAGGGAGGACATTGTCAGTAAACTGAAAGAATGCACAGCAAGATCCCGACAACTGGATTCAGAAGTGAGAGAGGACAAGGCATGGCACGGATCCAAGGTGCGCTGGCTCCTTACAGACAAAGCTCCGTGATGTGAGAGGAAACAGAAGGACAGCTCACAAGCCAATCACTGCCATCAACATTCACCTGAGTAAAAGCTGCAGAGACCAGTCACACTAACGTCCATCTTGCTCAGAAATGGGAAGCCCATAGCCACAGCACCCACCCTCTTCACAGCTTCTCTACTCCTTTAAACTGAAACTAAAGCTCCTCCTCCTCACTTAAACTGATACTAAAGGTCCCTCTACACGTCTAAACTGAAAGTAAAACACTGTCCCCATCAAACACTCCCAGGACAGGTACTGCACGGGGTTAGATACAGAGCAAAGCTTCCTCTACACTTTCCACATCAAACATACCCATGACAGGGACAGCACAGGGCTAGATACAGAGTAAAGCTCCCTCTACACTGTCCCAATCAAATCTACCAGGAGAGGGACAGCACGGGGTTAGATACAGAGTAAAGCTTCCTTTACACCATCCCCATCGAATTCTCCCAGGACAGGTACAGGCTAGATTCATACAAAGTTAAATAGACCATTGGTTACAAATGAACTAAACGTCTCTCTATATACCTTCCAAAAGTCTACCCTAGCATCTTATACTTTGTGTGTTTATCAAGTTGGATGGTTTCTGAGTGAGAGGCAGTTTAGCATGGAGGCTCCACACCTACAAAGAAAATGAAATCTCTGGAATTCATTTCCTGTACACTCATTGTGCCATCTGATGAGGGAGACTTATCCTGGAGGTAATGGTGGATTTGAACCCAAGTTTACAGAATAAATAGACACCATCTAACTGAATGGCAGCCACCATTATAATTGGCAAGTAACATTGATCCATTTAAGGTGAAGCTGAATGAATGCACGATAGGAAGAGGGTGCTCACGTGGAGTCTGAACATTGGCGTTGATCTGTCAAGTCGAACACCCTGTTTGAATTGTAAATTCGATGTGACTGGTGCCTCGGAAGTGTTCAAATTTCTTCAGAAAAGGTACGTTGATAGCAAGCCTTTCACACTTCACGAATGCATCGTCGTCATGAGAAATCTCAAATTTCCCCTGCCAAAGGGAGCTGAGCTGTGTTAGTCAATACCACTGTGGGACTGGGCTGTTGCTGATGATGGGGGAGGGGAGAGCCTGATGAAGATACTACAGCTGACAAGGGCTCTTCAGATCCAATGGCACAGGGGGCAGTCCATTTGGCCCGTCTAATGCATGCTGGCTCATCCAAAGAGCTACTCAATCGGTTCACCAAGCCTGTTCTTCTTCAATAAGCCTTCAAAAACCTTTATCAATTTATCTTTTTGAAAGTTACAACTGGGACTGCTTTCATCAGCCTTTCAGGCAACTCTCTGTGTTGGAAGAATGCTCACCTTGCTCCATCAGGTTCTTCAGCCAAAGCCTTCAACTTGTGCCCCAGAACACAACTCCCTTCTGAGCACTTCTTGTCCACTCAGGCAAAACCCCTCATCATTTTCAACACCTCTAAGCCCCCCCCAAATCTCCTATACCTCTTCCTCCAGTATTTCCTGCGGGGGGGGATCGTATTTTTTTCCACCCTCAAACGTGCTTCTGTGCGCCTGTTTGTAAAAACATCATAGGCTTGTAGATAAATGGACGGGTGTTTTGCCTGAGGTGCAGGAGGGCTGTAAGAACCTGTTCCACTGTAAACCCGCCCACAGACTGATCTTTGCCCACAAAAAAAACAAAAAAAATTTAAAAATGTCTTTGCTTGGAGAAAGTACCACTCAACAAAGAGACTTTGAATCTGCCTTCATTTGCATGTTAATTAGGAAAATATGCAAAGGAACACAAGTTCAAATGAATGTTAATTAGCCCCCGGTCATTTGTGCAAAAGGAGATAATGCAGCAAAACGGGCTGACAATGAATCAGTTTAATTAAATCCTTTTGAGCCTTTCATGTTTCTGTGCCGCAGCACAGAGTCTTGCTGGGGTGTCTGCTGGCCAGGCGGGGGAGGGGTACAGGGCACAGGCCTCAAGTAGAGTCACTGGGCCCTCTCCATAGCTCACTTCTGTCTAATCCACCCAAAGGACGCTGTCTCTAATCTTGTCAGCTCACCACTGAGCCTCCTATCAGCCCTCTGCTGTCACAGGAGCTCTCAATCTACTGTGCTCTCAATTCTTTGTTGCTACTGGTAACAGTAGCATTGTCTGCAGTCCCAGAACAGTTCAGCGTATTCAAGCACTGCTCGCCCTGGCAAATCATCATGGGCGTTCACCGTCTTATTCACAGGCTGGGCATACCTCCGTATTTCTTTTCATCGAGAGTGCCATCCCTCACCCCAACCCAACCCTTTGTTGTGGGACCATTGTTATTTGAGTTTAAACACGTCTGATGTTCTTGAAGGTGAGGGGACATCTGCTTTTCTCTGCACTGGTCCCTGCCCTTTCTAGCCTTGCTCCAATTGCAGAATGACCCCGAGGGAATACCTTATTCCCAATCCATGAAATTATTGACGATTGTTTAACAACTGACATCAGTACTACAGCCTCAGAGACAGAGGGAGAGGGAGAGAGACAGAGACAGACAGAGAGATGTGGGGGGCGCTGGGATGGTAGGGTCGTGCTCCAGGTTAATCCTGGCTTTGGCGTGGGGGTGAAGTCAAGGTGGGGATTGGACCCTGATGCCCCGTTTGGGAAAAAAAATGGGGCCAAACGGTTCACTGGGCCTTTTCTACTGAAGCAAACCACATCTAGTTTGGCCCCAATGTGAACTACAGCCCTACCCCACCCGAGTGAAGTTGAACAGCCTCCCCCCTGTGGCCCCTGCCTTCACTAATCTTAGAAACAGTTAGTGGAGATATTTGAATGAAGTGGGCCCTCTTATGGTGCAGTGGTAGTGTCCCTAGCCCTGGACCAGCAGGCCCAGGTTCAAGTCCCACCTGCTCCAGAGGTGCGTGATAATATTTGAGCAGGTTGATTAGAAAAATGGGTTAAAAAAAAATTAAAGCTTACCTCAGGGCCCTCCTGTGCCACAGTGGGGGCCTCCCTATACCTGGACTATGAGGCCCAGGTTCAAGGCCCACCTGATCCAGAGGTGTGTCACAACATCTCTTAACAGGTTAATTAGAAAAATAGGTTAATTAAGGGGGGGGTAAATGTTTTCTCGTACGGTTTTTCACTCAGGTTGTCTATAGCAGTGCGCAGGTGTTGAATCTTCAAGTCTTCCGGAACATTCCTTGTCCCTGTTGACGACAACTCCTACCTCAGTGGTGAAGAGATGTTGCAAGCCCATCCACAACTTAGGGGGGTGGTACTTGCTGGATCCCACAGCTCCTGGGGGGGGGGGGGGGGGGGGGGGAAGAGTTGAAACAGCTTTGTGGAAAATGGGGCCTTGGCTCTGGTGGGGACCCACTTCCCTTGCCCCTCCTCCATCCACCCCCCCCCCCCCTCCACCCGTCTCCCCACCTTGCTTCAGAAGCTAGCTCTACGGTGTATACCTGAGTCCTGGCGCGGGTATTCCTTCTTCCTCTGTCAGCGGCAAAGCAAGAAAAAAACACAGATGAAGCAGAGAATAAAAGTCACTCGAGGTCCCGCCCGATCCCACAAGAGGCCTCAGGGACAGGTCAGAGAAGGCTGGAATGCAGTGGCAGCTTATAGAGTCGGGGGCTGTCTGCATCTCAGATGCTCCCTCGTCTGCATCGCAAAAGGCAAATCGGCCTGTCATTTAGAAACCCATCAACCCAGTTCATTAATTGCCCTGTGTGGGGGAGGGGGGGGGCAGCAGGATGAGTGTGCCATCCGTATTGAGGCTGATCCAAAGATGATTCCGGTCCTGACTCAACATGACCGACTCTTCAATGTCAACTCAAAATGGCCGCACAACCTCGTTTGGTTGTCTGGACAATTAAGAGTGCGCAGTAACCTGGGGATTTTTTTTTTTATAGAACGGATACAGTTCTGTCTGGGAACTCACCACTGCCTGCACCAACATGTCACTGAATGAGAAAGGTCCTCTCTTATTCCAGGTCTGTGCTGGTCACAACCATGCCGAGAGTCAGACCGGATCTGGGGATGGTGGAAAGTGAGCTCGGATTGTCTACCCTTGTAACTTTGACTGGAAAGTGAAGAATTGGGCGAGAGCAGGATGCGGTTCGACTGTGAGGCTCCCCATAGCCAAATATTCCACTGTCATGATTCACGGACCTTTGACAAGGTATGCTGGGGGCATTGGGGGGTGGGGGACGGAGCTCAGTGTCTGAGCAAGTCTGTTCCAATTACTGAGAGGGCAAAGGTGGTTCCTTCACAAACCATCCAGGGATGGCCAGTTAATGTCAGCGCTGGCCCCATCCTGAGGATCAATACAAAAATTTGGCATTGAAGGAGATGAAGATTGTGTGTCGACCGAGGTTTGGCACCACAGAGAAGGCTGTGCGGGTAATTTTAAGCGAAGAATACAAGCGCTAAATAGCAATGAAGGGAACTGAGGAAAGACACAATACAACCACAGTGCTGGGACCAGAGGCTAGGACCAACAGCAAACTCCAGGGTTCAGTAACTTTCCACAGGAAGTGGAGCAGAAGGACTGAACAGAAGGGAGGCTCCACCAGATTCTCATTGTCCCAGGTCTTGTGTTAAGCTTTGCCTCCTGGAGTTTACAAAACAGATCACAGTTCCCTCTCCCTGCTGAGCAGACTAAGCTCCAGTTATATAGTCCAAAGCTACTAGGTAGGGCCTCACCCAATCCCTCCTGGGCTGAGTCTTCCAAGGGGTATCAGTGAGCTACATGACTGGGCAGGATCAGGGCACACACCGACTGTTGATGCGCTAGGGGGTCCTGCCTGAACAGCTGGCGAGAGACTTTCACACAGGGAGTGACCGGTCTTACCTCTCGCCAATCGGGCAATGACAAAGTCAGCACGTACCCAACTAGCCCACCCGAGGAGGAGGGGGAGCCTACCGAGAGCTGCTGGCCAATTAGAGGCGAGCGATTCTTGAGCACCATGGCGGGGGGGACGTGGCTGCAGCAGGAAGGATGCCACTGGAGGCCTTGGATTGTAGAGTAGGCCAGGACGTGGTGGGGTAGGGTGGTTTTCTCAGTTTGGTGGCCCTGAAGAATCAATGGGGGTGGGTGGGGTTGTGAGGGGTGCGGGGAAGAGAGAGAAGCTTGGGTTAGTGGTGGGAATGGGATGTGGCTGATCCACAGTGGCCACCCTACCCTGGTTGATGTCCAGTCCCTCAATCAAGCACAGAGTGTCTTTGAGAGGGCAACTGCTCCCCTCACCCATAGCAGCCACTACCGTTTGGGTGGAAAGCCTGCTTACAGCTCAGTTAAGCTTAACAACAATGGGATGAAGCACTGAGGTAGGTCATTAACTGACAAGTCAGTTCACAGTGGAGGGAGAAAGTTGACCATGGCCTGGCCTGGCCTGGCCAGGCAGAGGGCGGTGGAGGGGGTCATCCCTGCCAACTCTTGTTCTCTTCCACAGTTGTGTTTGTGCCCGGGTGTCATCGGAGATGAAGTGTGCGGTGTCCACCAATGCTCTCGATGCCTTGAGAGAGAGGTGGGTACTGAAGGGGATACAATGCTTTAATTCTCCCTCCGACTCCATTTTAATTTAGTCCCTTTCTGCTCTTTCTAACTCCCTCTTCACCTTTGACTATTTGTTTTGTCCGTAAATGGGCTTTGCTTGTAAATACTCAATTGGATACATGCGTGTTTTTACTGGGCGTGGTTACTAGTTTTAAAAAAGTCAGGGTGATTTTGGTGGTGGGAAGGTGCTCAGTTGTGTGAGACAACACTTCTGGGTAGAAAATAAAAGGATAAAGTTGACCACGGGCCTCCCTACCCAGATCCTAATTCTGGCTGAGGAGTGAGCAGATAGGTATCAGACACACACTTCCTACCTCCCACCAACTCACCATCTCCAGGGGCAGAAGGAGCATGTCATCTACAGTGTCCATTACTACAATGGAGTGCACAGGGACTGGCAAGCTGTGTGCAAGTCCTTGAGAAAACAGACAGCAGGAACGTTCAATTCCTGTCTGTCCCCTCCCCCAGGAACAACTACAACACATCACAGACTAGGAATCAAAGTTGATGCCTCTGGTCTGTGTGGATCAACAAGGCCTCTCCCTAAGGGGAGGTGACGGCCTACCGGTATTTTCGCTGGACTATCAATCCAGAGACCTAGATAATGTTCTGGGCACCCAGGTTTGAATCCCACCATAGTTGATGGTGGAATTTCAATTCAATAAAAATCTCAAATCAATCATCTGACGATGACCATGAATCCATTGTTGATTGCTAGAAAAACCCATCTGATTCACCAGTGTCCTTTGGGGAAGGAAACTGCCATCTTTTCCTGGTTTGGCCTACATGCGACCCTCAGACCCACAGCAATATGGTTGACTCTTACTCTGCTCTCTGGGCAATTAGGGATGGGCAGTAAATGCTGGCCTGGCCAGCGATGCCCTCTCCTATGAATGAATTAAAAAAAGGTAATTCACCCACCATCGCTTGACTGAGTTACCAGTGTCACAGAATGCTTTGAAAATTAGTTGACCTAAATCCTGGGTGAGCAGAAGGAAAGTTAATCTAATAATCCTCGACAGAATATATTAAAGGGGATGGGTAGGAGGCCTACAGCCTACTCTCATCGAACTGACCTCAATGAGCCCTGTTGAGTCATACAGGCCTGTCCTGCCCAGGCTCGGCTACAGTTTTTCCAGGGGTATTGTCACCCTCCCCAACCCCACGCACAACATCTCTCAGATCAGCCACCAACTGGACAAGACTTCAACTCAGCACCACGAGACTGTGACACCCCCTCCCCCGGGCAATTTGTAGCCAGGGACCGACAATAATGACAGCCCTGATGAGGTCACAGGCACGGTTATTCGGTAAAGATCTGTAACGAATACCCCGATGGCGACCTGGGTGGAAGCCTGAGAGGATCACGGGCCTACCCAGAGCAAAAGAGATGCACTACAGCCCCAGATGAAAGAGAACTAGCAAGGGTTTGGAAAGACACAGAAAGCCACCATTCCATTCAGCGTTTGCAGTCTATCAGTGCCTGCCACCAAGTACCTGTATGAACGTCTCCATATCGCCATTAAACAATTTATGATTATACTGTGAGCGAGGCCTAGGCTTCCTCATTTTCTGTGGCTTAGGGGGAAGCGATGGGGGCCTGAGAGAAATGGAACAAAATCAACACACAGAGAAAACAATATACTTTGAAGAATGTGGATCGCAGAAACAAGAGTTAATCATCGAGGTACAGAAACAATGTTCAACGGCAGCTATAACAGCATCCCATTATTTCGCACTTAGGTTGAGGTCAGCGCCCATTAGAAATATAATGTAACACAAACATAACTGGAAGGCCTAGAAACCTACTAACTTTCCCTTTCTCTCGGTCTCTCTCTCTCTCTCTCTCTCTCTCCCCCTCTCCTCTCCTGCTTTCCATTATATTCTATAGGCACTCTGGAATGTCACCCATTGGGTGGCTAGCATGTGATGGTAGTGATGTCTATGGGCATCTTCACCAAGGCAGTTCCTATCCACCCTTGACACCTCAACACTATCCAGCTGGGGCCAATTGAGCAGGGTGTCTGGCTGCTTTCTCCCCTCTATAGCCCCCATCGAATGGGGCTTGGTGCAACAGTATGCTGTATGAGATCAGCAGACTCTGTACAGACTGGGGTCTTTGTCACACGTACAGTTTGAGGACTGTTCTTGGCAATTAGGCCATCCTTGCTCAAAGGAGATGCCTTTTTCTGCCAATTCCAGTGTCATTCTTCCAGGATCCTCAACCCCGGCCAAGTGAGTCTTACTGAACAAGTTGCGGTAATGAAACAGGATCAGGGCAGAGAACGGTTTTGTCTGGGGCGGGGCAGGGCAGAGCTACGGACAGCACTAGCGAGCCCCACTCTTGGCAGCTCCCAATCCCCCGCTCTCTCCCGTAGATCAGGAGATTCTCGACGGTGCGAGGAGGATGCCAGAGGAGGGACCGTGGTGTTTCGGAATCCCACCCAGCTCTCACCGCGATGAGCCTGTGGATATCCCTCAGCCTCAATGCTTACTAACTGAATGCACCAAGCAGGCTTGACACCTGGAAGAGCTGGCAAATGCTCTGGAGCAGATCAACGTCAGCTCCACAGCATGAGAAATCTCAGCCGCGACCATCTCACTGATGCACGCCAAGTAACCTATCAAACGCCTGCTCTCCGTCAGGTTTGGTGGGGGGAGAAAATGGCCAATCAACACAAGAACAAGCAAGAGGGGTTGGCCTCGAGAGACACTCCTTGACTTTCCTATCGGTCTGCAGCACGATCTACAAACCAGATACACTCCTGGAGAGGTTTCACTGATTAGTTGTCCTTGCTGAAACGCTAGTGTGTGGGGGAGAAGTGGGGACAGGTCTATGTTTGGCAGATCTTTGAGCGTAAGGGTGCATTCACAGAGTTAGTGATCAGTTTTTGACAGGGAGAAAGGTAGGTCCTGTGGGGTTTAGGTGAATGTTTGGAGGAAGGGTTGGAGGGGATGCCACCTCTGGTCACTGGTCCTCAAAGCGGTGTCCACAGGCTTGTCCGAAAAGGTAGTCCGCTGATGGGTCAGTATTATGGCCACGGACATAAGGTGAACAAAGATAGGAACCTCGCGCGCATGCACGCACACACACCCACTCACTCTCAAAACCAGACAGCAGAAGTAGGAGCAACAACCATATCGTTTCAGAAAGAGGATTCCTGTCACCGTCACAACATACACTCAAGAGGTCAAGTTTCAAAGGGCTGAAGGTGGAGACGAGGAGCTGGCTGAACATCAAGCCTGGCCTAAGGGCTGAAGCCCTCCCAGCTTGGAAGTGGACATCATGTCACTGATATCTCACCAAAGTCAATGCCACTCCCCCGCTGCTGATCATTCTTCTGTAATATTACATCAAAGCGAGCGGGGGAGCATTGGGGGTGGTGCGAGGGCATGCAAACAGTAAAAGCTTGAAGAACAACCATCCCAGGTTACACAAACAAATATACAGCCTTGACATGTACACCTAAAAGATGCTGCAGGTGTGTCGAGAGGGGGCCTCCAACAAGTTAGACAGTGGAAAACAGGGCTGTGAAGGCCTGGATGATGACGGAGGCTTATGAAGTTAGTGGGTTACTGTGGGATATGGTAGTGGGGCACAGAGAGGACATAGGGTCAGGGAGGGAAGGGCTAAATTGGTTGCAGGTAATAGCACAGTAGCAACAATTTGCCGTTCCCTTTGACTTGGGTGTCTACTGGTTGAGGTTTCACTGCAAGAATCTGAGAATATCTCTGGTCAGTTATTGTCTGGAACTGCACCGACTAAGATAGGGAACACTGGGCTCCTACCTTGAAGTCCCACATTCGGCCTTCTCACCTAAAAGGAAAAATATCATTGTTTAGCAAACAAAAACAAAAATCACTCCACATTTGCATTCTCAACACTTCCAGAATGAACCCACATAAAGTCATGAATTATTCCACTTGAAGGAACAGTAAGGCAGATTGGGCAACAGCATGAAGTGCAGAATTTTAGCTTTGTTGCCTGCTTAACACCTCTCCTGATCTTTGTTTGGAAATTTAGAAACATTTAGGAGGAGGCAAATGAAGCCGTTACGTCTGTGTTGGCTTTTTGTTCAAAGAAATCTAAACAAACCCCCGTGCATTTCCTCTCCTCTTTTAACTGAAAGTAACTGCCCCTCTACTCTTTTGAAGAAGTTAAATACATTGCCACGTCCTAAACTCTCAGCACAGGGATAGAGAAAGAGTAAAGCTTCCTCTACTCTTTTAGGTAAAGCTCTCTCGACACTGTCCCCATCAAATGCTCCCACAGCAGGAGCAGCACAGGGTTAGATAAAGTAAAGCTTCCCCAACAGTTTTAAACTAAAAAATAAAGCTTCCACTACATTGATTCCATCAAACACCCGCAGGAAAGGTACAGTATCGTCTAGGTACAGAGTAAAGCTGCTTCTATACTTTTAAACTGAAATTATAGCTCCTCCACATTGTCCCCATCAAACACTCCCAGGACAGGGACAGCAAGCTGTTAGGTACAGAGTAAAGCTCCCTCTATGCTTTTAAAGTGGAAGTAACTCTTCCATTCCACTGTCCCCATTAAACACTCTCAGGACAGATACAACATGGGGTTAGTACAGAAGCTCCCTCGGCACTGTCCCCACCAAACACTCCCACAGCACAAACAACACATTATTAAATGGAAAGGAAAGCTTCCTCTACACTGTCCCCATCAAACAATCCCAGGACAGGGACAGCACAGGGTTATCTAAAGAGTAAAGCTCCTTCTATACTGTCCACATCAAACATTCCTAGGACAGGGAGATCACAGGGATAGAAACGTCCTCAATGCTGTTGCATCAAAGCCTCCCAGGACTGTTACAGCATGGAGTCAGATAGAGTGAAGCTACCTCTACACTGTCCCCATCAAACATTCTCAGGACAGGGACAGGCTGGGGTTAGGTACAGAGTAAAGTTTCACCTACATCAGTAAGCTTCACTGGTCCATAAGGAGAGCTTACATCTGGAGTGAGACACAGCCTGAGTGAGTATATAGTTCGGGGAATTTGGAGCAGTGGGGAAGAGCTGCTTTCCACTTGCTTTTTTGGTTCATGGTTTGTAACACCTCTTTAACAGCATGAAGCCCAGGATCAGGACCCAGCATAAAAGACTGATATCACAGGAAAACTGTACATTCATTGGTTAGTAAGAGTTGCTAATTTGACTATCCATTTTAGGTTATTTTCAGATTGAAGGTAAATAGGACAACGATGTACATGTTATTAACTGAAAGACCAGTCGGAAATTTTTAAAAAATGAAGAACTAAGTAAACAAAACAGTAATGTCAGACCAGATGATGTATTGTAACTGTACAATATGGGAGCATTGTGGTGCACAGTGACTACATGAGGAGCAAGTGTTGGTTGTTTGAGGAACTCCAGCTCAGAGTTGATGAGCTGGAGTTTGAGTTTCGAACACTGCAACACATCGGAGAGGGGAGGGGAGAGGAGTTACCTGGATGCTGTGCTTCAGGAGGCAGTCAAACCCCTTAGATTAACTACCTTGAATTTGGTCAGTGGTTATGGACAGGAGGGTGTAACTATGAGTGAGGCAGATAGAGGGATCCAGGAGGTAGTGCTGAAGGAGCCTGAGTCCTTGAGCTTGTCTAACGGGTTCTTGATCCCTGTGTGGTTGACAGTAGGGGCTGTAGGGAGGATAAGCAAACTGACCACAGCACCATGGTACAGGGAGCTTTTCAAGAGGAGAGAGAAAAGAGAGATGTAGTTGTAATCGGGGATAGGATAGTTACACTGCTTTCTGTGGCTAGGATTGAGAGTCCCAAAGGTTGTATTGCCAGTCTTGTGGCCAGGTTCAAGATTTCTCATCTGGGGGCTGCAGAGGAACTTGGGGTGGGAGATGAAAGATCCAGTTGCTGTGACCCATGTAGGATACAGTAAGATAGAGGAAAGAGGTTCTGCTGAGGAAAATGAGCAGCAAAGGTGAAATTATAAAGCAAAACCAAAAAGGTAATAATCTCTGGATTACCACCTGAGCCATGAGCAAATTGGTACAGGGTCAACAACATTAGCTGACTAACAGAAGGCAGAAAGTGGGGATAAAGGGGTCTTTGCCAGGATGGCAGCTGGCGATTAGTGGAGATCCACAGGGGTCAGTGTTGGGACCAGAACAATTCACATTATACATTAATGATCTGGACGAAGGAGTGAGGGCATTGTTGCTAAATTTGCAGATGTCACAAAGGGAGGTGGAGGGATAGGTAGTGTTGAGGAAGTGGGGAGGCTGTGGAAGGATTTGCACAGGCTAGGAGAGTGGGCAAACATGTGGTAGATGAAATACAATGTGGAAAAATGTGAGGTGATGCACTTTGGTAGGAAGAATGGAGACAGACTATTTTCTAAACGGGGAAAGGTTTTGAAAATCTGAAGCACAGATTGACTTGAGAGTCTGAATTTAGGATTCTCTTAAGGCCAACATGCAGGTTCAATTGGCACTTAGCAAGCCAAATGCAATATTACCATGCAGTTCAAGAGGACTAGAATACAAGAGCAGGGACGTACTGCTGAGGCTGTATAAGGCTCTGATCAGACTGCATTCGGAATGTTGTGAGCAATTTTGGGCTCTGTCTCCAAGGAAGGATGCGCTGGCATTAGAGGGGGTCCAGAGGAGGTCCACAAGAATGATCCTGAGGATGTAGGGTTTGTCATATAAGGAGCAGTTGGGGAGAGTGAGAAAATTGGGTCAGAAACAACTGTGTTAACTTAAATAAAGCGAATTTACTGAAATGAGGATAGAGATTGCTAAAGCAAACTGGATAGATAGACTCAGAGATAGTAGGAACTGCAGATGCTGGAGAATCCGAGACAACAAGGTGCAGGGCTGGATGAACACAGCAGGCCAAGCAGCATCATAGGAGCAGAGAGGCTGACGTTTTGGGCCTAGACCCTTCTGAAGAAGGGATAAATTCAGAATCTGGCAAAGGAGGACTTAAAAGATTATAAAGACAGAAAATAAACTACTAAGGCAATTTAGCAAGGAATATAGAAAGTGAGAACAAGAGCTTAGCATACACCCAAGAATCCTAAAAGAGATAGCTACTGATATAGTAGATGCATTGGTTGTAATTTTCCAAAAATTCTTGGATTCTGAAGAAGTACCAGAGGATTGGAAACTTGATAAATGTGACACCGCGATTCAAAAAGAGCGGGGAAGCAAAACGCAGGTAAATGTTGGCCGAGTAGCCTAACATCTATTATTGGAAAAGCATTGGAATCAATTATTAAGGAAGTAATAGCAGAACATTTGGAAAATTATAATCTAATTAAGCAGAGTCAGCATGACTTTATGAAAGAGAAATTATGTCTGACTAATTTATGGCTCAGTGGTTAGCACTACTGCCTCACAGCTCAGGGACTCAAGTTTGATTATGCCTTTGGGTGACTGTCTGTGTGGAGTTTGCACAGTCTCCCCGTGTCTGCGTGGGTTTCCTCCAGGTGCTCCAATTTCCTCCCATGGTCCAAAGATGTGCAGGTTAGGTGGATTGGCCATGCTAAATTACCCATAGTGTCCAGGGGTGTGCAGTCTAGGTGGGTTAGCCATGGGAAATGCAGGATTACAGGGATAGGGTTCATTTGTTCACTTACTTCGTTGTTCCAACCTCATTATATTTCTAATCCTCCCCAGTTCCGATAAAAGGTAATTGACCTGAAACGTTGACTTTGTTTCTCCACAGATGCTGCCTGACTTGCTGGCAATTTTCACCCTTTTCTGGTTTTTGAAAGCAGGAATTCTCGATAGATTTAGGAGGCTTGCCATGTCTGGAGGCACAGGCATGCTCATGTCAGTAGTCCCTGTAACAGGTTGCTCACTTGAAGCCAGAGGCTTTTGCTTGAGGGATGTCAATCCACCTCAAACATGCCTGACCAGGAGTCTTTCCTGCTCTCACTGCCTGCCATGGGTAGCGCAGAGAGGTGTACAGTTTGATAATCAGCTTGTTTGGCCATGTTATGAGCACACTGTCCTTGGAAAATGAAATGTGATGCTGGAAAGGGATGCATTTTGGGAGGATTAACAAGGTAAGTACACAATGAATGGTGGGACCATATGAGGTGCACAGGATCAGAGGGACCTTGGTATGCATGCCCATTGATCCTCGAAGTCAGCCGAACAGGTAGTTTAAGGTGGTTAAGAATGCATGAAATGATTGCCTTTATCAGCCAAGGCATTGAATACAACAGCATGGGAGTTGTGATGGAGCTGTGTATAAAGTTAGTTAGGCCACAGTACTCTGTGCAGTTTGGGTCACCACACTATAGGAAGGATGTGACTGCACTAGAGAGGGTGCAGAAGGCATTCACTTGGGTGTTGCCAGGGCTGGAGCAGTTCGGCCACGGGGTGTTTTCCCTTACAGCAGGATACAACTTTCTACTGCATTACTGCAGCTTCGGAGATCCCACCCTGAACGCTAACAATGCTCACGGAAAACGGAGCGCTTCCAAACGCGACTCTCACCTTCCCCCAGTGTTTGCTTTAGTAGGTCGTGCTTGGCTTGCAGCTTTGTGATCAGGTTACTTCCGTTCAAGTATTCCTTAAATTTCTGAAAGTCAAACCGTGTGCATTAACAGCATATCAGTCTGCCACAAGGTTCCATCATACCAAACGGAAATTGGACAAGGCAAAGATCAGCTTAGTTCAGCAATTCTACACCCCCCGCCCCCCCACCCCGAATAGAGCACAGGAGGTCATTCAGCCCATTGGGACCATGCCAGACTCTTATAAGGAGTGATCCCATTAGGTGCACCCTCCCTTCCTCTTTTCCCATAGCCCTGCGCATTTTTATCAAAATTTTCACATTTTTATCCAACCTGAGCTGCATTCCTCAATCCACTTTGTTGTGGTCCATTGTTGAGAGGGCAGACCTCATTCTAAACACAGCCACCTTTCCCTCAATAGATTACAGGGCATTAATTACTGCAATTTTTAAAGCTGTCCATTAATAGACAAGTGTGTGGAACAAAAAGAGCGCAATGTCGCAGTTCTAATGCAAGTTATGTTATTCACCTATATTTTAATTATTTTTGGATTCTGAACTACTGGCATATGGATTTGACCTGTGTCTGTGAAAGGGGCTTAACGATTAACGCAAATTTAAGCAGCCATGGTGATTTCTTTAAAAAAAATGTTTGAGGGGGACTTCCTGGAGAGTAATGGGTTTTGTTTTTGTTTGGCAAGTTTTACAAGCAAGCAAAGTTGTGCACTAAGTTGTAATAAAAAGGATCTGAAAATTATTATTTTTTGATTGAGGGAACCATCTTTAACTTGAAGAAAACCCTTTTGCTTTTGGTTTATAGAAGTCTTGGCTGAAGTTTGACGCTGTTTGGTGGCAGCATGGTGGCTCAGTGGTTAGCACTACTGCTTCACAGCACCAGGGACCCAGGTTCAATTCCACCCTCGGGCGACTGTCTGTGTGGAGTTTGCACATTCTCTCCGTGTCTGCGTGGGTTTCCTCCAGGTGCTCCGGTTTCCTCCCACAGTCCAAAGATGTGCAGGTTAGGTGGATTCCCCAGTGTGTAGTTTAGTTGGATTAGGGAAATGCAGGGTCGCAGGGATACGGCAGTGGGGAGGTGAGCCTGGGTGGGATGCTCTCCGGAGAGCTAGTGTGGAGTTGTTGGACTGAATGGCCTGTTTCCACACTGTGGTGATTCTATGTTTAAGACTACTGCTCCTGAAAAAGGAAGACAGTTTGGAATTGTTAAGAAGTAAAAGTTCTCAGAGTAAACAGTTTAGTTTTAAAGTTCCAAATCAGAAGTGTTTGGTTAAAACCCTGAAGGAGTTATTTGAAGTTGAGAAAGTCTACACTCAGTTATGTGAGGGCTTAAGGAAGAGGTGGTCAGATTCTACAAACAATTGAAGCAACAGCTAAGTCCAACCTTCTGTGTGATAGAGAAAGGAATTCTCTCTGGTGAGAGAACTATAAGAGAGAGCTTTTGTGATTAATAGGATTGTATTTCTCCATGTCTTTTGAAATCGTGAAACTTACATTATAAGTAAATGGTTTGGTTCAGTCTATTTTACCTACATTTCTTTTGTATATTAAACTTGTTTTGTTGTTAGAAACAAATCTGCAGCATCATGTGCTTCTGTTTCAGTGAAAGACCACCTCATTAAAACCAAAAAACAAAACCCCTCTCAAGCCAGATTTCAGTGTGGGATCCGACTTGTCCAGTAATAGCATCAGCTGGCATCATAGCAAATGGAGCTCGCTGTAGGCCAGAAACGACATGTAACATGCAAAAAGTAGAACCTCCGACATGGCAGCACTTCCTCACAACCGGATGTTGTAATGGGATCTCTGGAGTGAGAAAATTTCTCAACCTTCTGACGTAAAGGCGAGAGCATTAGCACTCAGCAAGAGCTGTTCCCTGACGGGACACACCACACAACCAGTTATCCACAACACATCCCTAACTCCCGGAGCTAGGTGGTACTGATCTTCCACTTCGCCTCACAAAGGGGTCCTACCGTAAAGTAGAATATCTCTGTCTCCTGTTGGTTGGCTCGCCTCTTGGCAATGTTAAGTTTGCTCATGTAGGTCTCGGAGGCAACAGATTTGACAGACTCGGTGGATCGGCTGTGATGGAACGCGTCAGACACGTCAAAGTCCTCTACTGTTAGCATGTCCTGCAGAGTTTGCATGGTGGCATCCAGTGTCTTCCTGACCTGGAGCAGGTGCAGGACCAAGAGGGGAGGCAGGCACATCAACATGAGAGAATGAGAATCCAGAAGAGGCCCTCTCCTTTACTCCTTACAGACCCTAACCCCACATACTTGATATATCATTATCATAGAATCCCTACAGTGTGGAAATAGGCCCTTCAGCCCAACAAGTCCACACCGACCCTCAGAGTATCCCACCCAGACACTATGGGCAATTTAGCATGGCCAATCCACCTAGCCTGGACATCTTTGGACTGTGGGAGGAAACCCATGCAGACACGGGGAGAATGTGCAAACTCTACACAGACAGTTGCCCGAGGGTGGAATCGAACCTGGGTCCCTGGCGCTGTGAGGCAGCAGTGCTAACCACTGAGCCACCATGCCACCCCTGTTCAGTGGGCATTCACGATCAATACTCTTCGACTGGCCAGTGGTAATCAAGGCCCACACAACCCTGGCTCCCGTCTCCAGTATTCACCACTGCTCTGCTCACTTGTAGCCAATATATCTTCCCCCTACACCACAAAACCCACCACTTTCTCTGGGGTGGCGGGGGGCGGGTGCCATGGTGGCTCAGTGGTTAACACTGCTCCCTCACAGTGGTTTTGCTTCCAGCACCAGGTGACTGTGTGTGGAGTTTGCACATTCTCCCCGTGTCTGGGTGGGTTTCCTCCGGGTGCTCCGGTTTCCTCCGGGTGCTCCGGTTTCCTCCCACAGTCCAAAGGCGTGCAAGTCAGGTGGATGGGCCATGGGAAGTGGGTTACAGGGATATGGGAGCGGGGTGGGTTTGGGTGGGATGCTCTTCAGAAAGTCGGTGTGGACTCGATGGGCCAAATGGCCTGCTTCCACACTGTAGGGATTCTACGACTTTAGTCATCTTTGTCCTTGCTGATGACCTCTCGGAACTTCAACCCAATTCCCCAAATATGCTTATCCTGTGCCTTTTTGCAATAACCACACAAAATCCCACTGGTTCCCTAATGTTCTATAGAGCACGGAAGTTGACATACGCGGCCTGGTCAATGCATGACATCAGTCCGATAATCCACCTGAGCACTGTGTGGCCATGGTAACCTGAAGTCTCCGCAACACAAGTCATCCCCTTTAAATTCATACGACTCTGACCCATTCAAAAACATTTAAAGGGGCCAGGTGCTTAAAGAAATTGCCCGCACACTTGAAAAATCAACAACAGGGAATGTTGATTCAGTCCCACACTTAAGCTCGTTCTTCACAAGATATTTGAGATGTCGTGCAGTGCTACACTTCCATGTTTGATCTGAAGAACCCGGAATGCCAATATACCTCAACATCAATCCCAGTGGTGACTCCCTCCTAGTGTTCAGTCGAGATGTACTCCATTCATTTTAACCCTGTCTGCCCGACTTACTGAGGGAGACAGTTAATGTGGGATTGGTTTGAGGGGAGAACATCCCACCAGGACGATCAGAACCTGATCTAATCCCCACAACCCCCTCTGTGACAGTCGGAAGCTGTTTCGGTTGTTTAATTCTGCGATGGATTCCCCATCTCCTGGGCAATATCTGAATTGAGTGGTCCAGGGGTAACAGTCAGAGATTATTTCTTGAACTCTGAACCCTACAACCAAGAATTGGAGACGGCTGGGCAAGGAACTGGCCCATGGTGCTATTATTTATAGGGGTGGCCAAAGAGAAGGGGATCAAATTCACAGGCCAACTATTCACAATCTCTGACAACTGACCCCCTGTACTGGACTGAACTGGTTCTAACATGCACCTTAAATTTGAAAAGGATTGCCGGTTTCTGGCACCCAATAGTTACACGAGTTTTAAATAGTCGGAGAAATTCTTCTGACTTCCACGTGAAGCTACGAAGGATAGGTGTACTAATCCCAGGTTTTGGTGAGTTCCTGGATTGCTATCAACTGCCTTCCCATTCACCTCAGGCAGCCAGCCCAAACAGGGGAGGCGATGGCCTAGTGGTATTATCGTTGGACTGTTAATCCAGGAGACCCAGATAATGTTCTGGGGACTCAGGTTCAAATCCCGCCATGGCAGATGGTGAAATTTGAATTCAATGAAATATCTGGAATTAAGAATCTAATGATGACCATGACTCCATTGTGGGTCGTTGGAAAAACCCATCTGGTTCACTAATGTCCTTTAGGGAAGGAAACTTCCATCCTTACCTGGTCTGGCCTATATGTGACTCCAGACCCACAGCAATGTGGTTGACTCTTAACCACCCTCTGGGCAATTAGGGATGGGCAATAAATGCTGCCTGGTCAGCAATGCCCTCACCCCATTATAAATAAAGAAAAAAATTCTAGAGCACCAGATGGGGGCACTGCACTTGCAGGCCCAACTGATACTAGCGCTCACTCGATTTATCCATGAGAACCAACACAGTGTAGTCCCCTCATGCCAGCCACTCCGGTTCGCTTCCAAACTAATCCCCCTGCCCATAAGTCCATCTCAACATTGTTTCCCACCACCCGCCTTGACCAAAGCAGCTGTATTAGTTGCATGCATCATGGTGTACCTCTTCATTCTCGATCTTCAGGGTGGCCAGGCGGGATTGCAGCTGGTGGTACCTCATGAGAAGTTCTGTTTGTACTGGTTGCTGGGCACTCACCTGACAGACCTGAAGGGGAAAGACAAGAAATGGAGTCGTTTAGCACAGGGGTTCTTCCCAAGCTGCCCAAAGCTCAGTCTATCACCATTCGTCAAGGCTGGGGGGCCTTTCCTGGTCTTTTAGTCAGGGCACTGGAAGCAGACCATCAAGAAAGATCTGTTTCAAAAACTCCCAGGGAGTACCAAAGTCTGACTGTGCTACCCTCATGGGTGAAGGGCAGTGTGTAAATGTTCTGTAACTGATGTGGTCAACAGCTCCAGGGGTCTTTAGTCGCATAGTGGTATGGCTCCTGCCTCTGAGTCAGGAGGCCTGGGACAAGTCCCATCTGCTCCAGACGTGGGCCATCTCTGAACAGGTCGATTAGAAACCATCAAATCGTAAGCCAAGTCACTGGGAAGTGCTCCCACACACAACTCTGGATGATGCCTTATTTTTAAAAGGTCATAATCTACAACCTCGCCCACCCCGAGTCCAGGACCCATCATTCCCCCCCCCCCCCCTCACCTTCCGCCTCCCCCAACCCAGTTCAGATCCCCATCTTCTCCCCCACCCACACTCTCCCTCTCCCCATCCCAGTCCAGCCTCCATCTCCTCCACCCCCGCTCACCCCTCCCTGAACCCCCAGACCAGGCCCCCCAACTCTCCACTTCCCTCAGTCCAAGCTCCCACCTCCTACAAGTCCATCCACATTCCCCCTCCTCCCCCACCCACAGTGTGCCCCCAACCCTCTCCAAACACATTCCCCCTTCCTCCTTACCCACCCTCTCCATTTCCTTACACAACCCCCACCCCAGTCCAGGCACTCACTCTCCCCTCCCCATCACAGCCTGCACTTATACTCTTCCCCCTGCTCCGGTCTATGTAAGTCTCTCCCCCAGCCCTGGCCCAAACTCCCCATCCCACTTTCACCCCCACACCCCCAGCCTCCACCCATACAAATTGTCTGCAGTGTATCCTACATTACAACAATGATTACATTTTCAAAAGTCATTAATCAGTTGAAAAGTGCTTTGGAACATCCTCAGGTTGTGAAAGATGCTATAGAAATGCAAGTCTTTGCCTCTTTAAATCCTGGATCCAGATTAAGAGCAAGGAAGTTCTGACAAAAAGCTAAAGAGGTACCACAGTGCTATGGTGACGTTCCATGGCGGGGGTGTGGAGGGATGTTGGGGTTTGGTGGGGGGTAGTAAAGGCACAGGTCAGGGCAATGTGAGTGTGCACAGCTCACGCTGAATGTGCTGTTTCTGTACAGGTGTGAGACCATCCATCTATAACGATTTAAATTAACAATCAAAGCACATTCAGCACACAGAACACAATCTGCATCTGCTCCCACTTCCAGCTTTCATCATGCAAGAGTTACTCCAGCTGAGAATATTTTAACAATCTGTTATGCACCTAATTACAGACCGTGGATCTGAATGTTATAATGGCAGAAACTGATACAGTTTGGGCACTTATATTGCAAAATGCAAATTCAAGGGCAAAAAATTTGCATTTATGTAGCACCTTCAACACAGACCAACACCAAATGTAGCTCACAGCACCATAAACAGGTCACATGAAACGATACTAAATGCAGCAGTGAATGATCAGGACAGGATGATCCCAGGTCTCATCACTGTTCTGGGCTGACATAGCGATCAGTGCGGGGACAGCAGGCATGACAACTGCTTTGAGCCAAAAGAACAGGAAAGGACTGAACTGAACTAGGTTGTGAGGGCTGGAGAATCCCAGGGCTGTGCTGGGAGCATCTATGTCGGCACATGGATGGGAGAGAGAGCGCGTGTGTCTGAGGTGGGTGTCTGAGAGAGAGAGAGAGAGAGAGAAGGTGTGAGAGAGAGAGAGAAAAGGTGTGAGCATGTGTGAGAGAGAGAGAGAGAGAGAGAGAGGGCGTCTGAGCTGTGTGCGCGTGTGCGAGTGAGTGTGCTTCTGAACTGTGTGCACATGTGAGAGAGTGAGTCTGTGTCCGAGCTCCGTGCATGTGCAAGACAGTGTGTATCTGAGTTCTGTGTGCGTGTGAGCTGTGTGCGCGCGTTTGAGAGTGTCTCTGAGCAAGAGTAAATGTGTGTCTAAGGTCTATGCGTGTGTAAGGGAGTGTGTAAGTCTGAGCTGCATGCGTGTGTGAGAGTGTGTGTGTGTATGCCAAGAGGGGTGTTTGTGTGTGTCTGAGGTGTGCGTATGTGAGTGAGTGTGTCTGAGCTATATGTGTGTGTCAGAGAGTGTGTGTGTCTGAGCGAGACCAAGTGTGTGTCTGAGGTGTGTGTGCATGTATGAGAGTGAATCTGTACCTGAGCTATGTGTGCATGCGAGAGTGTGAGTGTGTCTGAGCTGTGTGCGAGTGTATGAGAGAGTGAATGTGTCTGAGGTGTGTGTGTGTGCATGTGCAAGAGACAGAGTGTATCTTAAGTGTTATACATGTGTGAGAGAGAGAGAGTGTCAGAGGTGTGCACATGCATGTGTGTCTGTTTATTGTTTGTTTAGGTGGACATTTGTTGTCAGGAGGCAGAGTGAGGGGTATTTACAGATGGCAGGGGTGGTATCGTGAGGAGGAGTAGCGAGTCACTGAAAAGAGGGGCAGAGGGAAGGCAGAAGAGGATGTGCAGACTCAACGGAAGGGGATTCTTTCAAGGTTATTGCAAAGTTGGAGTTCCATTTGGTTGGCCACTCTCAACTGGCTTGAAAACGTCAGGCCTACTATTGTACCTAATAACATGGAAAGCGGCAAATGAGGATTTATTGCAGTGAGGGTCAAGCAAGATGATAACTACCCTGGCCTGTGGTTTAAATAAAAACACTTACAGCTGGTGGACTGAATCATTGCCGGGGAAAGATTACAGGAAGCAGCAAATTCCAAGATCTATTATTTTCATGGTTTTGACGTTGCTCATTCGGAAGAGAAGGCAAGACGTGCATTTATATAGCACCTGCTCTCACATCTCAAAAACACCAGCAGTGAATTATATACGCATTATGTGGGAAGATATGGCAGCCATTATCCACACAGCAAGCTCCCAGAAACAGCAAAAATTAAACAGCAAGTTAATCGAGAGCATTTTAAACAATCCAGCGTCTCCATTTCTCCATTGCTTGGGATGAAGGAGAGTGTTCATTGATTTGTTCACTTGACTTGTTGACAACCATCTGGCCAGCTCATGGATGCTCACAATTGACCAGACTAATATCGGAAAAATGTAAATGCATTGGAATCACTGAAGAAGTGAAAGAAACAAAAACATGGGTGGCACGGTGGCTCAGTGGTTAGCACTGCCGCCTCACAGCACCAGGGACCTGGGTTCAAATCCACCCTCGGGTGACTGTGCAAACTCCACACAGACATTCTCCCCATGTCTGCGTGGGTTTCCTCCGGGTGCTCCGGCTTCCTCCCACAATCCAAAGATTGGCCATGCTAAATTGCCCATAGTGTTCAGGGATGTGTAGATTAGGTGGGTTATTAGGGGATGGGTCTGGGTGGGATGCTCCCAGGGTCAGTTTGGACTTGTTGGGCCGAAGGGCCTGTTTCCACACTGTAGGGATTCTATGGTTCTATGAGAAGTTGCTGGAAAAGCTCAGAGTCATGGACCTGACATGTTAACTCTGATTTCTCTTCACAGATCTGCCAGACCTGCTGAGCTTTTCCAGCAACCTCAGGATAGATTGAAGAAGTCGGGACTGGTCTTCGTGGAGAGAAGGAGGCTGAGGGGAGATTTCATAGAGGTTTTAAAAATCAGGAGTGGGGCTGGATAGATTGGATAAGGAGATGATGTTCCTGCGTGAAAAACAGACGAGGCAAGGGGGCATAGATTTAGAGTGCAAACAAAGCCAGGGTGAATGTGAGGAGAAATTTCAGATTGGGAGTAGTTAGGGTGTGGAACGCACTGCCTGGAAATGTGGAGGAGACACTGGATGGTTATTTGGATAGAAATGGCATGTAGAGATACGGGAGAAAGGTGGAAGATTGGCACTTAGGCAAATGTTGCTCATTTGAAGAGCAGGCGCAGGCACAATGGAGCAAAATGGCCTCCTTCTGTACCGTACCAAGTCTATGACAAACGCCCCTGTGACTTCTCAAAGGTCAGGTACAAGTTGAACCATCATAGCGTTTGGTGAAGTAAGGCTGTGCAGCAGAGTAGCATCAATAGTCTCCAGAATAAAAATTCTCTGATGAGGGCACTTTGTTTCATTCTTTCATGGGATGTGGGCATCAGTGGCTCGGCCAACATTTGTTCATCCTCTCTAATTACCCTCGAGAAGGAACTGAGAAGGGGTTTGGAGTACAGGAATAAAGAATTCTTGATAAAATTAGGCAGGGTTTCAGCGAGACCATATCTGGAGCGCTGTGTGCGGTTTCGGTCTCCGTATTTATGAAAAGATTTACTTGCATTGGTGCTGTACAACACAGGCCCACTGAATTGATCCTTGGGATGAGAAGCTGTCCCTTGACAAGGGGCTGGGTAAATCAGGCTTGTATTGTCTGGGGTTTGGAACAAGAAGTCACCTCATTGAGATGTACAAGATTCTGAACAGGTTTCCATGGGTAGATGCTGATAGATTGCCTCTCCAAGTCAGAGAGTCTAAAACACAAAGGACACAGAATCAGGATAAGGGACTAATCATTTAGGATCAGGATGACGGGAAATGACTGAACTAGAAGGGTTATGCAGCATGGAAACAGATGCTTTGGCCCAACCTGTCATGTCAACCCGATATCTTAAACTGATCCAGTCCCATTTGCCTGCATTTGGCCTGTATCCCTCTAAACCCTTCCTATTCATGTACCCATCCAGAAGCCTTTCAAATGCTGTAATTGTACCAGCCTTCACCACTTTCTCTGGCAGCTCATTCCATACATGCATCATCCTCTGCGTGAAAAATCTGCCCCTCAGGTCCCTTTTAAATCTTTCCCCTCTCACCTTAAACCTATGCCCTCGAGTTTTGGACTCCCTTCCCTGGGGAAAAGACCTTGGCTATTCAGCCTATCCCAGCAACATCCTTGTAAATCTTTTCTGTACCCATTCATATTTAACAATGTCTTTCCTATAGCAGGGGGACCAGAATTGAACACAGTATTCCAAAAGTGGCCTAACCAATGTCCTGTACAATCGCAACATGACGTCCCAACTCCTCTACTCAATGTTCTGACCAGTAAAGGCAAGCGTGCCAAACGCCTTCTTCACTACCCTGAATACATGTGATATGAAGCTGCACCCTAGGTCCCTTTGTTTGGCAACAATGCCCTTTAATCGTATAAGACCTACCCTGATTTGCCTTACCAAAATGCAACACGTCACATTTATCTAAATTAAACTCCATCTGCCTCTCCTCGGCCCACTGGTCCATCTGATCAAGGTCTCTCTGGAATTCTCTATCTCAGAGGGCTGTGGATCGTTCCATTGTGATACATTTAAGGATGTGATGGACAGATTCTTGGTGTTTCAGGGATATGGGGAAAGAGGGTGGGAAAGTAACTGGAGGCTCTAAGTCAGCCACAATGGTAAGAATGGGCACAGCAGCTTTGATGGAGCTGAATAGTTTACTCCAGTTCCTCTTTTTGGTGATGTTCTTGAACCACTGCAGACCAAGCAGGTACTCCCACAGCACTGTTCGGAGAAAAGCCAGATTCAAACTGACTTCTCAAAAGTACGCTAGGATTGGCATAAAGGTACTGAGTCTCTCGAACCTGCCCCACGAGTCTGTTGGGCCAATGCTGACCGATGCATGACATGGAGCTCTGTCTCAGGCCTAGTGATCAGAAGAGGGTTATTGTGGAAATAAAAACGGATGTGACATCATTGGCGACTGAAGTATCGGGATTCTGTACGAGAGTAGTCAGCCCTGGCTGGACCTGTTCCTGGAAGTCTGAGCATGACCTTTGCTGCTTCCAACCCAAACACGCAGCCTTTTCTCTCCCCCGACCCACCATTTCCAATTTTGTTATAACAGAAGTGTTCCAAAAAATAGGAGGAAAACCTTTTGTGACAAGTCTTTATGATTTATCTCCCAGGAGATCAGCCATTAATATCTGAGAGCTCCAGGACAATCCTACAGAGTTGGCGACTCAACAGATAGTCACCATTTAGGATTCAATCCCAAATTTGGATTCGAGTGAAGGAAAGGTCTTATTGTTCTCGTAAGGACTATCGAAGGGAAGCACCTTCTCAAGAAGGATGAGTGAAAGGAAAAAAAATTACAGACAGCATCTCTGTGCTTTCTTCCTAGAATTGGCAGTTAGAATCAGAGAGTTGGACAGCATGGAAACAGACTATTCAGTCCAACTTGTCCATGCTGACCAGATATTCTGAACTGATCTAGTCCCATTTGCCAGCATTTGGCCCACATCCCTCTAAACCCTTCCTATTCACACACCCATCCAGATGCCTTTTAAATGTTATAATTGTACCACTTCCTCTGGCAGCTCATTCCATACGCACACCACCCTCTGTGTGAAAACATTGTCCCTCGGGTCCCTTTTAAATCTTTCCCCTCTCACTTTAAACCTATGCCCTCTAGTTCTGGACTCCCCTACCCTGGGGAAAAAGACCTTGGCTATTCACTCTATCCATGTTCCTCGTGACTGGATAAACCTCTATAAGGTTACCCCTCAGCCTCGACGCTCCAGGGAGACTAGCTTGCTCCCATCTCCCTCCCTTTTCAATCAATACAAACGCAGAAAGTCAAATAAAAACATTGTAAACAGCAGACCCACAAAGGAATGATCGTTCTGCCCCTTATAGGTCTATCTCGTCGAATGTGAACAATAGTGACCTACCTCATCGCCCATGTGCGGCTGGAATTCAAACCTGGTGGGTGGACAGAAGATCTGGTTGTACATGTCCATGACCTTGTGTTTGTCACTTCGCGCGTCCAGGCTGTCCACTGCATTCTCAATGATATCCAGCCCCTCATGCCGAGACGTCTCCAGGTTATATTCTGCTGACAGGAAGGTCCTGAAAGTACGGGCCAGGCTGGCATGGAATCCCAAATCGGAGCACTGCGGGGAAATACAACACGGCTCAGTGATTAAAGCAGGATTCATGGTGAGCAGTGAGACTGAAACAGGTACCCACTCTGGACCCTCTCTCGCTCTCTGAGTGAAGCAGCATTCCTCTCTCTCCCTCAGAAAGGAAGATGGCGGGGGGACTGGGGTTGGGGGAAGCAGCGATGGCGGTGGGTGGGGGGGGGGGGGGAAGCAGAGGGGATGGGGGGGGGGGGGGGGGGGGGAGAGCAGCGATGGCGGGGGGGGGGGGGAAGCAGAGATGGCGGTGGGGGAAGCAGAGATGGTGGGGGTCGAGGAATGGCCTCAGGGCTATATCCTATTCTTACACCATCCCATGGAATAAGGGTCTGCTCCGAAGACACTAAGCAGTGCGATAGAAGGGAGACACATTTAGGACAAGAAGCTCCCAACCTGACTAGCCCCATCAGGGTGGGCTGGACAGAGATGGCATTGAGAGTTTGGACTACGGTAAAACCAGAAGCGAGGTGCATTATAGCTGTTGCTGATCTCTCTCAGTAGAAATAACACAGGTCACTTCAAGACTCTCACCAAGGACAAAGGCAGCACACCCTTGTTCTGGGAGGCTTTGGGGAAAGCTTCCTGCTTTGGGTGTTGGGTAAACATATTGCCTGCGAGTAGCACCATTGTGATGCCCAGCATCAAGCCTCAGGGCTCAGGGCTCTACCTCCTCATCCCAACTCCCAACTTCTGTATTTCCATGCCATGATCTATAACCTACTCCTGCTGGCAAGGGGGCTCTGGGAACAGCAACTGAGGAAACTTGGTGCACATGCCCTACATTGCCAGTGGTGGCTGCTGTGCTCTGGGTAAAAAAAATTCATTCCCAGCTAAACCTGCCTCGGCTTCTTCCAAACCAACCAGTCAGTCACTCGGATCTGGGCACCCTGCCACACTTCCTCACGCGTCTCAGTCGGTTCGGGATCAGGAGCGAGCAACACCCAGCAGGCACAGATTTTCTGGATTCAGGCATCAACTTTCCGATCATTTAAGCAAAGCAGGTGGTGGAATCCTCACAAGAAACTGAGGTACATCTGCAGCCCATCTGCACCGCACGGTCCAAATGAAGTGAGGTGCAAACGAGAGCTGCTTGACATTTTACAGCAGGGATTAGCGAGAGAAGATGAGCCGGGGGAAAATGGAGGGAGGATCAAAGAGAAAAGTTCCTTTCACAGTGATATTCTTGTGTTATACGAGTGCGGGGGGAGGGGGACAGCTGAGGAAGAAAGACTGTCCCTCACCAGAACAACATATAAATTATATATATATAAAACTCCAAGTTCCCATGGTAACTGCTGTGAATATAGGTGTGTGTACGCCTGATCAGCACATATATTCTTGTCTGTTAAAAACAGCAGGAACCGTGCAAGTCAAGAGTGGAACAGGCTGCACAATGCTGGGTTTGTGCACCGGAGGATTCTGGGCGAGAGGGTCTGGTGGGGGAAGGGTTGGCCTACAATTCACTAGAGTGGAAAACAAGGCGGAAAACCATCTGGGGCTTTCAGACACAGTGAACAGACAAGGAAATGAACTTGTGTAGACTATTGTGAGGAGAACAGAGGCTGCGGAGAGCAGGCAGTCTACGGGCAAAGTGCCAGTGAGGAACTGGGGAAGGACAAAGACTCGAGTTCAGTACCGAGCGAAGAGGAACATTGAGCCCAATTCAACTCAGTCTGGTGACTGGGCCCAGTAACAGGGCCAACTCTTGGCCCTGCGGATTCTTTCTCAAGCAGCAATTGTTTGGTCCATTGACGAAGAAAGTAATTGTCATTTTTCACGGACTGTTAATTCACAGCCTCCTCCTCACCCCCTCCAGTGAGACTGATACAAATCGAAAACAAGGAAGTGTAAGAGTTTTGCCTTAGAGGGGATCAGATCTCATTAGTCGGTCTTATCTGCACTCGGCTTTGTTCTGATGGTTTTGTGGGCTGGTTAGTTTCCAAGTCTGAGGAATTTCAGAGTGGAGCAGCTTATAGGGTGCACCACCATGTTACAATTTCCTGTGTTTCCAGGAGGGGTACAACCTGGGGGCTGGTGCCAAAATTGGGAGAGCTGTCTCACAGACCAGTCAAACAACGGCCTGACATATTCACAATTGGGGAATCATACTTTACAACGTCCTAGACACTACATCACTTTCCCTGGGTATGAAGCAAATGCAGCATGACCTGGACAATATTCAGGCTTGGGCTGACACTTGACAAGTAACATTCTCACCACACAAATGCCAGGCAATGACCATCGCCAATGAGACCGCCCCTTGACATTCAATACTATTACCTTCACCGAGTTCCCCCACTATAAACATCCTAGCCGGTTACCATTGACCAGAAATTGAACAGGACTTGCCACATAAACACAGTGGTTATAAGAGCAGATCAAAGGCTATGAATAAGAAAAATCACACTCCACTCCAGCCATGATGTTCCATACAACCAGTCAGCTAGGGTCAACAGATTCCGAGTTAGACCCAAGTAAATTGAGGCTTGGATCTTCCCACAAGAAGCACGAGACAGGGAGAAGCTAATTGATTATCACTGGAACAGTCTGCAAGTATTACTGTTTCCTCTGAGAATCTGGGCAAGGCAAGGAAAGGAAGGGGAGAAGGTAACCTTGCCTTTGGGACAGGGCCTGAAGATACCATGAATAGTAAAGGCTCAGAGATGGTGGGAACATGAAGATCATTTTTGTTGGTGATTAAAAACAATTCAAAATCTTATCTGCTGTGTTCATCCAGCCCTGCACCTTGTTGTCTCAAAATCTTATCGACTAGTTAACGTCCTCATGTGAGAGACAGAAGTGACTGGATATTGATTGAAAAGAAACAGACCTTTAAATGACGAGTTTATACACTCGCCTCGTGAGGGTGGCAATATTGTTTTTGGTCATCAATCCAGCTCCACCCTGCCCAACCCTAACTCTAATAAGATAAAGGCGATGACGGGCAACTTGTTTCTGACAAGATGACCCTCGGCACATTTGGCCTGTCCAGGCCCAAACATCCCGGGGTTGCCTGATCAAACCTCCAGGGTCAATGGGCTGTGCTGCTGATGTAGGCTCTCTCCAGCTCAACTGCAGAACCAGGAACTAACGCTGAAACGTAGTGGGAGGGACAGGAGGTAGAGAACCAACTCAGGGCATAGAGTGCAGTCCAGTCTGGGAGTTGGGTCACTCTCCCTGTGCCCGGTGTGCCCTCACAGCAGCCTTTCAATACCAGTTCCTGGTGCCCCCTGCAACGTGAGTTTATGCTTCCTGATTGAGCTGTAAGTGGATTGCAGAAAGTGCCATGACAGGCACGAGGGGGCTGGGGGAGGGGGGCGGTGGTTGGGGTGGATGCCAATGTCCATAGACAAGGGGTCGGTGTGGCTGGCAGTTATGGATCGGGCCATGGGGGAATGGCTTTTCCTCGTCAAAACGGAGCAAGGGGTGAACTGAAGTCACCAGGTACCCGTTCGGATTTCTCAGTGTCGAGATTGCTTGGAGAGTTTGTTAAGAAAGGAAGCTGAATATTAATGAGGTGCATTGGCCCATTAACAAGGTGTTTAACAAGCTATGATCCGCTTCAGTTGGCGACTCACTGCGGCCTAGTGAGAATTCACAACGCACCTTGTGAGAAGCAAAAAAGATGGAAAGAGGGACTGACTGAATTGCTCTAGAGGGAATCATCATGGACTTGAAGGGCCAAATATCTTCCTTCTGTGTCTTTATGACTTGTTTGAACTTCACTCAAGAGTGAAAAAGGCACATTCGAAGGCACAGGTGTTACCACTAAGTCCCAATGAACAGTGAGAACCCTCTCAAAACCAATTTCCTTAGATGAGTTTGCTATCATTTCTGTGAGCTCTCCTAGCTTAGCTCAGTGACCACTCTTTATCCCTTTCATTTCCCACCGTGCCACCTCCTTTTTATCCCCAAGCCCAATACACCCAGACAGTATGTTCCAGGTATGACTCTGGCCACCTCACTTTTAGCAGCACATCATTCCGAACACAGAAGAGAATACTGACATCAATCAGGTCAGAGACATCGTGGATGTAGTATTTAGCCACAGCAGCATTCGTCGCTGCTAGGTTAAGCAGGTAGTCATTTCTGGCTTTGGTGCACTTCAGTTTGTTTTCCGAATACTTGGCTTGACGCTGAGGAACAGAACAGAAAAGGAAACCCATTGTGAGAATACTTAGAGTAGTTCACATACAGAAGTACCAGGCAGGCATGTACTCAATTCCAAAACCCACTGATCCACTCTGTAATCATCTTACAGAGTTTCAATATTCTAAACCTCTTCCCATTCACCCACATTATGTAGGATTTTCAGGCTTGTAAGATATCTGATCAGAACGCCAAGATGATCAGATGGGGCACTGGGTTAGATAGCGTCCTGGGCTGTGGATTACAATCCCATCCAGGGTGACCCTGAGCTAACTATCATTGGGAAAACTGGGAAAAACAGCCCGCTGGGAGTCAAGAAGGATGGTTAGTCGGGGAAACGGAAGTACAATGATGCAGTGTTCACACTAACAAATTTTTAGAGTGTGACTGAGCCACATTAGTGTAGCAGAATATAATTTTTTACTCTGTGTCTAATCCTGTGTGGTCCCAGTTTTGGAAGTGTTTGGTGGGGGACAATGTAGAGGTAGCTCTGTACCTAACTCCATGATGTATCTGTCCTTGGAAGTTGTTGATGAGGACAGTGTTGGGGGTACTTTACTTACAGTTTGCTTTCCATTTAAAAGTGCAGAGGTAGCTTCACTCTGTATCTAATTATTAGGGTGGCACAGTGGCTCAGTGGTTAGCACTGCTGCCTCACAGCACCAGGGACCCGGGTTCAATTCCACCCTCGGGCGACTGTCTGTGTAGAGTTTGCACATTCTCCCTGTGTCTGTGTGGGTTTCCTCCGGGTGCTCCGGTTTCCTTCCACAGTCCAAAGATGTGCAGGCTAGGCGGATTGGCCATGCTAAATTGCCCATAGTGCCCAGGGATGTTTAGGTTAGGTGGGTTGGACATGGGGAAATATAGGGGAATGGGCCTGGGTGGGATACTCTTCGGAGGGGCGGTGTGGACTTGTTGGGCCGAACAGCCTGTTTCCGTACTGTAGGGATTCTATCTATCAACTAGAATGACACTCTTGTAGAACTGTTTCCTACTGATCCACTGTTTTATCCAGTTCCAAATTCTTCCCTGTCTTGTGACTTTTTGTTCAGTTAACAGTCTTTCAAGTGAAACTGCCAAAACCTTTCTGGAAGTCTGAATAACCCTGTTTGCACAGCATTTGACTGGCTAATTCACATGCTGTATTCCCAAAGACAAGATTCAGGTACAACACTCTCCTGGATGTCTGTTGCTAACTAAGCTGTTATTTTACACATCCTCCTCTGGCTTACACCTTTGAGCAGATTCCATACTTTCACTTGCTTTCACTGTTAAGCTGAAGTGTCAGGTGTTTCTCGATATCCAGACATGCGGGGATAGTGGGAGAAGGTCAAAGGTCCAGCTATGACCTCACTGAATCGCCAAGAAGCAGGCTTAATAGCTCAAATATGTCTTCCTCCTGTCTCTATTCCCCATATTTCCTCATTCTGATTTATCTACTTGTATTTTAGTATTAGGGTTACAGATGCTGGCTTACAGAAAGCATCTTCAAATGTTTTTCTCCACCTGGGATCATGCTGTCCAAACTTCCTGACAGTCTGCTTTCGCATCCCAAATTATATATTCCATCTGGAAAGCAGGTTGATATTTTCTCACATGGATTCGAGGTCAGACCCTTTCTTTTTTGGACTTTGTTTCTCAGGCCTGAAAAACTGAGTGCTAACCATTTGAGTCACCTGGTGCTCTACCCCAGATTTTGTTTTAACATCTATTAAAAAAAATAGTGGACATGCCAGAGACATGAAACATAAAAGGAGTAGAAACCAGGTTTTTATCTTGCACAACAGGAGTGGACAAATGCTTTCAGCTTTTCTGCAGGATCCCTGTGAGAGTCAGCTTGAGGTAGGCTGGCCAACTGATGGTCTGTTGTAGATTAGCGAGCTGGACAGTTCCAAGGAATCCCAATACAGACAGAACATCTCCCGGTGCAGAAACCGCATGCTTATCAGGGCAGCACGGTGGCTCAGTGGTTAGCACTGCTGCCTCACAGCACCAGGAATATGGGTTCAATTCCAACCTCAGGCGACTGTCTGTGTGGAGTTTGCATGTTCTCCCTGTGTTTCCTCCGGGTGCTCCGGTTTCCTCCCACAGTCCAAAGATGTGCAGCTTAGGTGGATTGGCTGTGCTAAATTGCCCATAGTGTTCAGGGATGTGCAGGCTAGGTGGGTTAGCCATGGGAAGTGCAAGGTTATAGGGTAGGGGGAATGGGTCTGGGTGGGATGCTCTTCAGAGGTTTGGTCAAGTGTGGACCTGTTGGGCTGAATGGCCTGTTTCCACACTGTAGGGGTTCTATGGTATGGTATTATCAGGACTGAACTGGACCTGCATCATGGGAAAGCAATGGCCTAGTGGTATTATTATTGGACTGCTAATCCAGAGACCACAATGTTCTGGAAACCTGGGTTCGAATTGCGGCACGGTTGGTGGTGGAACGTGAATTCAATAAAAACCTGGAGTTAAGAGTCTATTGATGACCATGAATCCACTGCTGATTGTTGGAAAAACACATCTGGTTCACTAACACACTTTAGAGAAGGCCTACATACGACTCCAGACCCACAGCAACGTGGTTGACCCTTAACTGTCCTTTGGGCAATCAGGGATGGGCAATAAATGCTTGTCTAGCCAGTGACACCTACACCTAGTGAATAAACATCCCTCGGGCTGGAGCAAGCTTATCGACTTTGGGCTGGAGGTATACTTCATCCAGGATTTCTGACGGGGGCATATAATGAAAAGACGGATTTGCATTTACAAAGCATGTAATCTTCAAATTCGTTTGCATAAGAAGAAATGTGATGACTGTTCTAATGTTATCAAATTCAGCAGATATTCTTGGGTATAGCTGGATATCAGACATGGGTCCTTTTACAAACATACAAGATAGGGGCAGATTTAGACCATTCAGTTCCCCTGGGCCTGCTCTGCCAGTCAATAAGGTCAGGGCTGATCTGTTTATATTTCAAATTCTACATTTCCATCTACCCCGATAACTTGCGATTCTCTTTGCAAACACAAATCCATCTACCTCCACCTTAAAAGTATTTAAGGCCCCATCTCCTGAAGCAATGAGCTCCAGAGTTGCACAACCCTCAGAGTTAAATATTTCTCATGCCTGTCCCAAATGCCTTTAAAACCATTGCCCCGAATTCTGCACTGACCCACAATTGGAAGCATCCTTTCCACATTCCCTTTGTCGAGACATACAAACATAAGAAATAGGAGTAGGCCATCTGGCCCTTCGAGCCTGCTCCACCATTCAATAAGATCATGGCTGATCTCTTCCTGGACTCAGCTCCACTTACCCGCCTGCTCACCATAACCCTTAATTCCTTCACTGCTCAAAAGTCTATCTTTGCCTTAAAAACATTCAACAAGGTAGCCTCAACTGTTTCACTGGGCAGGGAATTCCACAGATTCACAACACTTTAGGTGAAGAAGTTCCTCCTCAATTCAGTCTCAAAATAAGGGGGTGCAGATTTAGGACTATGTACCTAGTTCTGGCTTCACCTGTCAGTAAAAACAACCTCCCTGCTTCTATCATACCTATTCCCTTCATAATTTTATATGTTTCTGTAAGATCCCTCCTCATTCTTCTAAATTCCAATGAGCATAGATCCAGTCTACTCAACCTCTCATAAGCCAACCCTCTCAATTCCAGAATCAACCCAGTGAATCTTCTCTGCACCCCCTCCAGTGCCAGTACATCCTTTCTCAAGTAAGGAGACCAGAACTGTACACACTACTCCAGGTATGGCCTCACCAGCACCTGATACAGCTGCAGCGTAATCTCCCTGTTTTTAAACTCCATCCCTCTAGCAATTCAGACCATTCTGAATCTTATACACTTTAATGAAGTGACTCCTGACTTTTTAAGAACTCCAGTGAAACAAGCCCAATCTGGTCCAAACTTTCCTTGTAAGACAAACCACTCATTCAGGTATTGATCGAGTAAACCTCCTTTGAACCATCTCCAATGATTTAACATCCTTCCTTAACTAGACAGACTAAAATTGTGCACAGTATTCCAGATGTAGTCTACCTATAGCTGAAGTATAACATCCTGATATGTGTGAATTCATCCCGCAATAGTCTATTATTGGTCTTCTGAATTATTTCTTGTACCTGCAGGCTAATTTTGTGACTTATGCAGTAGAACACCTAGATCTCTCTGCACTGCAGAATTCTACAGTTCTTTTCCATTTAAGCAATACACTGCTTTTTCATTCTTCCTGCCAAAGGGAGCAACTTCACATTCTCCCACATTATACTTCATCTGCCCGATTTCTTTCTCTGCTCATGCAACTTATTTCTATCTGTCTTCAACCTCCTTATGACTTCTTCATAACATACTTCCTATCTATCTTGGAGTCACCTGTGAACTTAGCTCCATGTCTCTGCTCTCTTCATCTAAGTCACGAATGTAATCTCTGACAAGTTGAAGCCCCAGTACAGGCTCCTGCCAACTCCACTTGTCCCACCTTACCAATGAGACAAAGAGCCACGTATACACACTGTTTTCGGCCAGCTAGCCAATCTTCCGTCTCTACCAGCATGTCACCCCGCTGATGCCATGAGTTTTTATTGTCTGCAATTACCTTTGATGTGGTACCTTATCAAATGCCTTCTGAAAATCCAAGTACAGTATATCGAATGGCTCCCCTTAATCCATACCAAATGTCATTCATAGAACATAGAACAGTACAGCACAGTACAGGCCAGGCCCTTCGGCCCACGACGTTGTGCCGAATTTTTACCCTAATCCTAAGGTCTATCTAACCTCCACCCCTACCTTATACTATCATTCCTTCAAAGAATACCAATAAATTGCCTAAACATGATTTCCTTCTGACAAAACCATGCAGATTCCTCCTGATTACTTTGCTGTCCCTGAAGCGTGCAGCTATAAACTGTTTTCATGATCGACAGATGACAAGCTAAGTGACCAAAGCTTCCTGTTTTCTGCCTCCCTGCGTTTTGAAAGTGC